AATATGCTGTTAATCTGAAATGAACCCATAGCATTCTGAAGAAAAAACATTCAAGCAGGGTGACCTTGGTTAGGCTGTATGAACTTCCTTATGCCCCCTCCCTTTCCTATGGACACTTGCTTGGTTGAGTTTCTGTGAAGTTTCCCATAATTACTAGCAAGTTTAACACAAAGACAGGTGCAAAAACTTGTGGATGTAAGTCTTCTTCAGTCAATGCTTTTTTGCTGCATTTCTACCTGTGAAGTGATCCAAAAGAAATGGGAAAAAAATCTCCTGTGAAGACCTCCGTGTTTTACTGTCTTGCTTTTAGAAGCAGATCAGGGCTAGTGAGGAAGGCTTGGCTACTGTCATGAACAGGCCATGGCTGCCCCTCAGGATCCCCCGCACCTCTGGGTTGGCCTCCAGTGTCAGGAACAAGAACTGCTAACATGCCTTCCTTAACTCACTTGCTTCAAAGAAGCATTATGCAGAACAGAAGCCCTCCCAGCTGACTTGGAAGTGTCCCTCCCCCAGTGGTGAAAAATATCCCAGAATGTTTGAAATGGTTAATACCAGTCTTTCAACAGGGAATGTTACTGCTCACCCCATACTACCTACTGCAGCCCTTCAGAGAGTGCTGGACTGACTTGGTTTTGTGGACCTTGCCCTCTCACTGTTGAAATGTGTTGAAAAAGCTGGCAGAGTATCCAGAGACACAATTCTGTTTTCTCGTCTTTGGACCAAGGCTAAGCTAGGGCCAGGTTTCAAGATGTAACACCAACAGGATGAACTGCTGGTGAATAATCTGCCTTTGGATTTGTGATGGAATATTGTGCAGTGCTACTGTGTATCGATGGTTTTACCTCTTGCTTTAGCAAAGGCCGCGGTGGGGCTGTACTCCATGGTGTGTGATTAGTTCTTTTTGGTTAAATTCTCAAAAGCCCTGAGTAACTGGCTGCCTGCTCTGTGTTTTGAGAGCAGCACAGGAGCTCAGCACTAACTGACGACATCTCTTAATTTTTAGAACAAGACCAAGCCTGTGCAGATGATGTTCAAGACAGATATATTTAACATGACCTATATTGGAGACTTGCAGACCAAAATCCTTGAGCTGCCCTATGTTGGTAATGAACTCAGCATGATCATCCTGCTCCCTGATGCAATCCAGGATGGATCCACGGGCTTGGAAAGAGTAAGTTGTTGAGCTGAACGCAAAGACAGTCTGTATCCTTCCAGGAAAGGAAGTCTGGTACAGCACCTAGACAGGAAAGGGTAGGATCTTTCCTGTTGTGGAGATGGAATAAAAGTTTGGGCTATTTTGTGCTCTGGCAAGAAGTTTATTAATAAAGTTTTCTAACACTGACTGTGAAGGGCCTTGTGAGCAGACTTTTTCTTCATCCTGTCACCATAAGGACGAACCTTTGGTTAAGACAGAAGAACTGGTGTCCATTTCTTTGGGACTTTGTCAGCAGTTCTGTGCCTTTGTTTCTCATATGTAAGAATTTAAAAAAAACCCAACAAAACATGTTATGTACTATGTAAACAAACACAGTAGTTGCTACTTTTGGCCATGTAACATTGACTTTCTTCTCATTTTAATTACGTACATTTGGGATTTTTTTTTTTAGCTGGAAAGAGAACTTACATATGAGAAACTGATAGATTGGATCAGTCCTGAAATGATGAAGTCTACAAAGGTGAGTGTGTCTTTACCCAGATTTAAACTGGAAGAAGATTATGATCTGAAACCCATTCTGAGCTTCATGGGAATGCCTGATGCATTTGACTTGGGGAAGGCAGACTTCTCGGGAATGTCATCTGGCAATGAGCTGGTGCTCTCTGAAGTGGTTCACAAGTCCTTTGTGGAAGTCAACGAAGAAGGCACTGAAGCAGCTGCTGCCACAACTGGACGGATCGTGGGTGGCTCTCCAATGATCATTCCGAATTTCACTGCTGATCATCCCTTCCTCTTCTTTATCCGGCACAACAAATCTTCCAGCATTTTGTTCTGTGGCAGGTTTTGCTCTCCCTAAAGAGGAGTTGTCTTGGCAGGAGAGGGACCATTACACAATAAAGATTTCTCTAGAATAGGGTGACTGCTTTTGCACTAATTGCCTCTTTGAGCTGTGCCTGAACCCTCTTGTGTGGTCTTGATCTGGGGCTTGGCAAGAATAACAGAGCTGCTTAGAAATCGACAGGAAGCGCTGTGTAAAACACCTCTCTCCCTGTGCACCTGTGTGGAGGTTCTTGCTGACAGAAGTAACATCCCACTTGCTCAGCAAAGGCTTCTCCTGTCCTTGA